TGAGACTTGCTCAGTGACCAAACGACCTTAGGCTTTACAGATGATATACTTGTTGAACATCTGATCCTTAGCCCCCACCTCCCAAGTCCTGCTTTATCTTCCCCTTTTTTAAATTCAACTGGAGACAGAGACAGAAAGAGAGGAAGGAGGAGAAGGGAGAGTGGGAGGAGATAGAGATATTGATGAGATAGGTTCTGGTTAAGAGTAAATGTGTCTAATCATTTTTATGAACTTGGTAGGTCTTCTTAAACCAATACTGCCCAATATAGAACTCAAGCCATGTATGCAACTTGGAATATTCTAGCAGGCACACTTTAAAAATTTATTGGAAATACATGAAATTAAGTTGAAGGTATTATATAGGATTCAGGGTTAATATCTTGTCTTTTGAACATACAGTCCACATAAAATCACTGAGATCATTGATATTTCCCTTAAAAGAGAAACAAAGCCCGGAATCTTTTAGGTCTGTGCATATTTCCCGTGCCTGGCCAGCCACATGTGGCTCATTGTTCTATATTAGTTACTGTGGTTTTAGAGACTTGGAGCCTGTTGTTCTCTTTCTGCTAATGCTGGTTGCAGTTTGTTGCATGCAGGTCTCCCATTAGGGTAATGTATTAAGGATTTCTCTTTTGTTTTGATGGCAAGAGACACTGGGAACTGGCCTTAATAGGTACACATAATATATTAATATCATGCTGTTTTAAAGTCTCAAGCACTGTTTGGAGGTAAAGCAAGTGAGCAGCAAGTAAATCTTTTTTCCCTTGTGTTTTTAACGTAGTACTGGGCTTTCAAAGCCTCCTTCCTAGTTATATTTACAATGTCTTGGCTTGGCATGCACTAGGCTCCAGGTTCAATTCTAAGACAATAGAAATGAAACAGAACTGGTGGGCAGAGACGTGAAGAGTAATGTTCTGGAGTAACCACCCTATGTCAGACTGCCCTGTCCACTTTATAGACTGCCGGGTGAAGTCAATGAAATATTCACCACCTGAAATGTCTCATTTTGGCTTTTGTCTTGTGCAAATGCGTGCCTAAATTTAACGGGATACCTATTGATTTAATTAGTGCATAATTCTTTCAAATTCTTCTTAACAGAAATTTCTATGTCTAAGTACTCACTTAGGTGATGAGGATTTGACAAACAAGAGTAAAATCAATTTTTAATGATCTTCATGAAAACTTGTGAATGTTTTTCCATTAGCTTGACTACTCTATTATCATATAAGAGAAAACTGTATATAGGTAGTGGAAACAGACCACCATTATCTGTTGAATTAACACAGATCGAGAAATACTAGGCCAACTATAAGATAAACCAATTATATTTTTCTTTGTTATGAGTGGAAAACTCATGAAACAGGAATGAGAAGTCCAAGCTCAGCTGTTTAGTGTGGGAACCACAGAGAGAAAGCGAACCCTGGGCTGCCTGATGTTCTTGGGGTACCTAAAAGGTCATGCCCTATCTTGGTCCACCTCTTAAAGTTCATTGGCTGACAGAAATTCCCTATCAGTTATCTACTTGATGCCATAGACATTCAGACCAACATTATTTAATGCTCATTTTAAACCCATTTCTAGCCATACAGCCTAGTTTGGGTATAGTAGGGTCCCACAAGTATCGACTGGAGCCGTTTTATAAGGAGCTATCGTTATGTTCTCTTCCGTGGCCAGATATTGTATCTAGACAAAGCATACCTGTGACCACTGCTATAAAATGCCAGGGAAATAATGTAAGTAGTAAAAAAGAAAAAAAGAAAATAAGAAAACATTTACAACTATCAGAAGACTTCTCCCAGTTCATATGTATCTGATTTTTGTTTTGTTTGTTTGTTTGTTACAGGAGCAGAGGTGAAGAACAGTAAAGCTTTTGTAAAATCAAATGCAATCATGAATGTGTCTGTTTTCTCCCTAATTATAGTATTTAAATTAATACCTCAGTTGATTGAGTGAACCCATTTAAGATAAGAGATGTCAACATTTCTTTGTGTTGTATGTTCGGCTTCTCACAATTGTCCCTTACTGTGATATGTGAGCTCCTTGCGAGACACATTGCCGAGTGTAGCAGCCAGTTCCACCACAGTTTTTCGAAGTTTCTCCTGCTGCTCCTATTGTTTTTCTGGGTGAAAAGTTGGCCCTAAAATACCGCAGTTGTTGTCTAGAATACATTAGGGTGGAAACAGGAGAACTTCTCAATGGCATCTTCTGTGCTTCACAGCACTGGCGTCCCCTAGCAGCTTGGGTAGACTCGGGAATCAGCTTGTTTTCCAGAGTCCAGATAATTCAGTGCAATTACAGGGTGGGGTGCACTGCTTTGTTTCTTAGAGTCCATGCTGGCAATTTCTACAGCCTCCTGCCTACCAGGGAAGTCTTTAAGAAACCTGTTGCTGTAAGGGAATTAACTAGATCTAATATGACTAGGAAACCAAGCCAATCCTCTTAAAACTCTGATTATGTGTCCGAATACTGTAGATTTCAAATGTGTTAAATCTGTGCTTTCGACATTTTGCCTATGAGTCCTTGGGTTCTCTGACTATGTTGTCTGTAACTTTGGTTACCGCATCCTGGGAATATTCTAGTTTGAGAACTTTGGGTTCTTGTTACCCAGGGTGTTGGCTAAAGGATAGAAGAACTGATTTATAATACAGAGGTTGACTTTAAAATATAGATGGTCTGCAGCCTCTATCCTTTGAGAGTTCTATCTTCTTTTGAATGTGTTTCCTTCTGGATGGTGCTAGACCCTTCTTTATATTGTCTTATGTATAGGAATATAGATTACGACTTGGAATTGAGTGTTTCTGAATTAAAGTAGAAAGGCCAAGTTGCAGGAAAGAACTGTGGAGCTTTCAGTATAACCTTTATAGAGACTGTCCCCTAACACGCACCACTTGGGTTCAAAAAATAAAGGTGAAAGGTCAAGAAGCAACAAACAGATTCTAACAGTTGTAGAAGGGTTCTTGGACATAGGGAAGAAGGGTGAATGAGAAGGATGAGACTCTTCAGTGACTCCCCATGGGGGGCCTCACCCTCTCTGAGAAGTGAATGGGAGTGGGTTGGGGAGAAGATGGGGGAAGAAGGAAGGCAGGAGGGAGAGGGAACTGGGATTGGTATGCAAATTAAGACTGTTTTAAAAATAAAAAAAAGAAGTAAACACTGTCATTCAGATGGAGGGCACAGCTTCAGAAGACACAGTATTGCCCTTGACTGACTTGATTCCTACCCATTATGTTGTACAAGCAGAAGCAGGGAAAGGTCTAAATTGATACCTAGATTCCACCTTTGGTAGACAGAAGAAAAGTGGTGGGACCCTTATTCCAAGATCCAAAGAAAAGAAGGAGATATTGGCTGGATATTTGGGATCTGACTCCTGGGATCTGACTCCTGGTTTAGACATGTCAGATAGACATTATGTAGGAAACTTTATAGGAGATAACGTTTAGGAAATAGGAAGCTGCTGAATGAAGGAGGGATAGATGCCATGGGAGAGAAATTGCAGATTGGAAAGAATGGAGTACAGAGAACAGAACTGAGGCTCATGTGGAAATTTAAGACAGAATCGTAATTATCTGACTTCAAAAGGAAGAATTGTCAGAACCATGACGAGGAGAGTAGCTAAGGGCATGAACAACATGTTAACACCTCTGGGAAGTAAAATGACACACAAATTCAAGTGTCCCATTGCACCAAAGGACAAGAAAATGGTAGAAAATTACCAGAAGTAGCATAAGTGGGGCCAGATTGCCTGCCCCTGAACTCAGAGATTGCTGCTCATCAGAATATAACCTACTTCCAGACACTGCATTTTTAACTTCTTAGCTCTGAAGGAGACAATGTTACTGACAGTCTATTGAAATAATTCATAATCATTTGAAACCAGTTTTTTGTATGTTCAATCTAATAAACTACATTAAGAAAGAAATCAATAATAAACACCTATGCCATTGTTCTTCCTCAGAGACCACAGGATCTCTTATGGGGGGTTTTGTCTTCCATATTGGAATGTTTTTAATACGGATGGGCCTTCTGGTATTATGCTATTTTAACGCCCATCCCCATTCCTACCAGGAGACCAAGAGTACTACTTTTGCTTTGATGAATAGCATTTATGCCGTAGACTTGTAATAATCAGATCACCTGTCTCTGATTATTTTATTAGTTTCTTGGCTGACCCAACTTAAACCAAAAGAAAGACAAGGTCACGGGAGGTAAGAGCTTAGGAGGCAGCAACTGATTCTGCTATTTCGACTGTAATCACTTTTCTTTCCCCTCACTATTTCCCTTAGCAGATTTAAAAGAGAACAGGAAAGTTAAATAGACTTTGCGGGAATAAAAATTTTTTAATCAGGAAATATTGGTAGTGTGGTTTGCTGGAGAATGTAATTCAAGCATGGCTAGACTCTAGTAGTTTGCCCACCTCTTTTGTGGGAGACTTGACTGGGTCTGTACTTGGATTCTTTCAGACTTTCTAAACAGCTAGACTTGGGGCCAGGCCAATGTGTTCCTTTTAGTATGATACTCATTGTCTTTTATTAATTAGTTGGAAAATTGTTCAACAAATTCTGATCAAACGTAGAACGAAAGGAGCTACCAGCAAAAGAAGGACCACCCACAAGACCTGACTACCTAACGGAGCACATTTTCTGTGTTATAGAACAGATCTGATCTGTAGATTATCTGTGTGTAGTTTTACTTTGCCCTTGCTGACCAATCTTCCAAAATTTCATCTTGAAAACTTCTCAGGTAGTATATGATCAAAGGTGTAATGTTATTCTTTAGGAAACTAGACTAATATCCTAGACCCCTAGCAGTTTGACTTCGAGGCTGATGATGAATTTTCAGAAGAAAATGACGGATTTTATTGGTTTGGTCTAGAAAACCCCAAAGCAGTAACAAATGGTGTAAGCGTTGCTCTTTAGTGGCTCTTCATGTAGGGTTTTAAAATGCGGCTAAGCATATTAGGGTTTAAGTTAATGTTTCTCCTTTTCCTCTTCCTTGAACAGGTTGTCAAGTTGCTTAGCAACAAACGATCACAGGCAGTAGGAATTCTAATGTCTAGTCTTCATTTAGATATGAAAGACATACAACATGGTAAGTATAAAAATTAAAATGAAGTCACTTAATACTAACATTTGGGCTAAATTGTGTGATGTTTGTTAGAAAGTTCTACCCATGCAGTTAGTATATTTCCTATAACACTATATATAACTTCATGGTTTTTTTTTTTCCTGCCAGGTTTCTATTAATATCATTTCATGCCTGTTCTATACCATGTTTAAGGTCCAGTTTTCACATGATGTTTCTATTCTGTTCTTTTGTGATAATCTAATAGCACAGACAGCTTAGCTTTTAAACTAAAGAATGTGTCCCTTATGGTTCTAGAAGTTGCAGGGTGAAGATCAAGACCCCAGCACAGTTAGGCTTTGGTGAGGGCCCTTTCTGGGGCTTCAGACAATCATTTTCTGCTTGTATCTTGCTTGAGGTAGAAAGAAGCCAGTGAGCTCTCATTTGAGTTTTGTTCATAAAGAAACAAATCTCATTCCTGAGGGCTCCACTCTTAAGGTCTGATTAAGCTCAAAGACTCTACTCCTAATACTGAGACATGACCAGGGCCAGGGTTGGGGATTGGGAATGCAACACACAAAGAATGGGGTCTCAGTTTGCTGCAATTCAACTTACTTTGTAGTTATAAAAATTTAAATTTTGTATCATACAAGGCACGAGTCCTGTTAGCGCTGTAACTAGTTAGACTGTGTCTGAATGCCGCCATGCAAAAGCTACTAACAAATACTAATGTGAACCAGATAGTGGGTCTCCTAGCCATTAAAACTACCCAGAGAAGAAGGGCCCCAGAGAGAAGCGTTAGTTGAGCCTTGACTCTTGGGTGCTTGATGGATCAGCCTAAAATTCTAAACCTGACCAGTGCCTCCCAGTATGAGAGTCACAGATGCGCTTGTTGCATTTGCTCTGCTAAGGATGCTCTTGGGATTAGGGCTGGCAGTTAGGGAATAAATTGCTGTGCTGGGTGAGGAACTGAAAACAGGTGTTACAAAAAGACTGAATGACCATCTGTCCACCGAGATGTATTTAAAACACTGGATGGAATACAGGACTTGTTCTTTTAGGTCCTCGTGGTCCAAGATTCCAAGATGCTGAAAGAGTAAAGCAACTTAATTATACATATGACTTTCTGATAGAAAACTGGGCATTCTTTTCCTGGGTATTTCAAGCAAGTATAGCATAAACTCCAGGGTCTTCTACTATAGAGAGATGGAATTGCTTTGTTTGTTTATGTACATGTTTATTTTATTATTTGTGTGTGTGTGAGTACACGTGTGTGTGTGTGTGTGTGTGTGTGTGTGTGTGTGTGTGTACATGCACATCTGCCTGTGGAGGCCAGAAGAGGGCATCAAATCCTTTGAAGTTAGAGTTAAAGGCACATATGAGCCACGCGGCCTGGGTTTTGAGATCCAAACTGGGGTTTTAATGATAGAGCAGTAAGCATGCTTAACCATTGATCCATTCCCCCAGGCCCTGAATTCCCTTTTCTAATGATCAACGGAGGTGATTGCAAATTATGTTTGCGGATTTGCATTGTGGATTGTGATTTCCAGAAATGTAGAAGAAAGTACTTTTTTTATGTTGTTTTAGCATAAATTTTAGTGGGCTTATGAAATAGTTTGGAATTTGGGTGATTTGTAACATTGTCTAAATGGCTCTGGTGTCAGTACTGTGACACATTCTGCCTTATACTTTGCAAGTATTCCTGTGCCGTAGCTGGCTATCATATATATGTGAGAGATGGTCCAGAGATGGATAGGAGAATTAAAGAGAAGTATTCTGAATCTCCCTTGTGCTGCCCAGAGCCTTTGAATAGATTTAAAGCAGATTGAGTTATTCAAAGGAATGCCAATTTACCTATTAAAAAAATATGGTTTCAAGTATAACACAGAGCTTATAAATCTTGAAAATGGTTACTGGCTTTCTAGTTTCCCCATTTGTGAATGCGGATTCTGTTTGTTAGTCCTAAAATATCATGGGGCATAAGTCATAAATAGCACTAGCGTGGCATGCCCTGTCAAGTGATGAGTAACTCTTAATCAGAATTTTAGTTTTTATTAAATTGTTTTGATGGAGAGGAGGCTTCCTTGGGCTGAGACATTTGGGGTAATAGTCACAGAAAAGAATGCCAAGGCTGGCGCCAAGCAGCACTTGGTGTTTCTGAAGCTGGCAGATGTAGCCCAGTTAAGTCATAGAATGAAATCTGAAAATAATGATATGGTCTTTTCCTTCAGTCAAATATTCAGCTCGGGTTGAGCTAATAATGAGAACCTTATGAACAAAGGAGTCCGCCTGACATCTGTGTCTGTGGTACAGCCAGCGAGAGTTCATTGAAAATTTGCTTGCTTAACATGCAATTCGAACAATAACATGGCGTGAACGTCAGTAGTTGACGGGTCACACAGAATTATGCATAAGCTTTATCCTATTAGGTTGTGAAGGGAGTGTTTGAGCCCTGTCGAAACCCTGCATACACATTCTCTGAAATCTTGGCTGCCTTCACATCTGGACAGGGAAGAAACCATACCTGTTTGTCCATGTCGCTGGACTGTAGGGTGGGATCTCTCAAGGTCCTGTAGTATACTTCACTTCTAGGATATACCTCCAGTACAACAATCTATGGAAATGAAATCATTACTAATTTTGGACATGAAAGTGACTACAAAATTTATCCGGACTTCCAGTCTCATAGAAAAAAAAAATCTTTGCAGGCTAGGTTTTGTGGTCACTGTTTTCCATGTCATGTGACTTATTAGTGGAGTGGATTGGACTTGATCTCAAGTCTCTTCATCAGGCAGGGATGCACTTTTCCATCAGATTTGTCACTACCCCCGATTGGACTTTTCCTGCTGTCAGTGCTGGTATCTCTAAGGTGAAGTGTACAGTACTGTTTTCAAGGTTATCCTAAGCTGTCAGAATGGACACTTTCTGGGATGACATGCTACAGAGCCATCTTGCTCATCCAGATATTGCTTTCACCTACAGGCCAAGTTAGAAGTTGTGGGATAGACTCACCGCCACAGAAAGCATCTTATAACTTTTATACACAGAAGAATATCTGGACCTGCCTCATCTCACTTATATTGACCAGAACTGTTTTGTTTCCCATTTCAAAACATTAGAAAATCTAGAGTTGACTTTGCTTTGCTGTGATTCTAATTTGAATGCCTTGTTAAAGTGACAAGAGTGAGATTGGCATCTAGAAGTCAAGGTCTAATTATAATCATAAAACACACACACATGCATACACAAATATGTATGAAAAATAATATCCTTAGATACAAATATAAAATGGGAATAAAATGGAAACATCATTCTGCTACCAGATCAAACTAAAGCAGGCTTCAGAGCTAATTTTCTTCCCATAATACAGATAAATATTTAACAAATGTTTATTGAACAAGAATAAAATCATTTAAATGCACTATGTAAACAATGAGGTTGCCCAACTTGTCCTTCTGACCTTTGATGAAAGATTTATCCTTAACAGATACAAGCCCATCACGGAGGGAGAGTCTATGACCCATTAATCTGCAACAGACATTAAGAAATCAAACCCAGGCTATATCCGGATCCTAAAACTCAGGCAACATCCTTAAAGACCCGGGTTATAGCGCTTAGGAGATTCTCTACTCTAGAAGCAAGGAGTTTAGGTAGAAAATTCCAAGAGATTTTACCTAATCAAAATATTTTGAAAAATTATTTTCTTCAAAAATATATTTTTCTCACCAGTAAAAACAAATTGTAGAAATTAGCATGCTAATTTTTGTAAAACATTTTGTGTGGGCTCTGTGCTTTGGTACTTTGAAGTATTAATCTAGATGGAACTAGCTGAGTTTGTGTTAGCTGGGACTAGGAGTGCATTTTTCTTACATTGTGCTGGGCAACCAACCGTTCCCTAAGACATGGACCTCTAATGTAGCACTAATGCCTGCCCCTAGAATTGAAGCCTGAACTGACTAGAATACTTTCATATTCCCTTTGCAAAGTTTGGATAGATTGTAGAGATTAGAGCAGGGAAACCCAAATATACAGCTATTGACTCTAACCATAGAAATAACTTCAGTATCCTGCAGGGATGATGAGCCCAAGGTAATAATAGTCTTGGTTCCTTCTGACATTTAATGTGTGCCATTTTAAGTGAACTGAGTAGACCTATGAGCAATAAATTCTAGATTATGTCCTTTCTGAATGAGATTTCTATCTTGTTTAAACCTGAGTAATAAAAAGCATTAAATAATAATGGTGTAAACTACCAAGCCTTCCATAAAACAATCTCAATCAGTATTATTTCTGTTGTTAAAGAGTTGTTTTATTTTTTCATGAACATTTTTAAGTGCATACCTGTGTTTGTGCATATGTGGGTGTGTGCATATGAGTTCATGTGTCTTTGGATGACAAGAGAATGTTTCATATTCCCTGGAACTGGAATTACAAATGACTGTGAGCCACCTGCAGTGTTATGATTGCTCAGGTGTGTCACTATACCTGATAGTTGTTTGTGTGTGTGTGTGTGTGTGTGTGCGCGCGCGCACGCATGTGTGTGCATACACACGTATGTGGGAGTACAGGCATGCATATACCATGTAGAGGTCAGGAGATCCCTTTCAAAATCTGATTCAATTATATTGATCTAACCCAGGTAATCAAGACTTTGTGGCTTGCACTGTTACCTCCTGAGGCATTTTGCTGTCCTCAATATTGTTTATGTTCTAAGAGTATTGATGGTCACCCAAATTCCCTAGTTATTGATTTTAAGGAAATGAAATTATGAATGATTTTCACATTTGTGAATTACATGAGAAAAAAATTTGAAAAAAAATCGAAGATAAAAGTTTTCTTGTCCTGGGTGTATCCAAGTTTAGATAACTCAAATACTTACTGAAAGAGCCATAGTGAGTAGTGCAGTTTGAAGGTTAAATATCTCCCAGTGGCTCACATATTTGAATACTTACTCTCGAGCTACAGTAGCTGTTTGGGGTGGTTACAGGCTCTTTAAGAGGATGAGCCTCAGTGGACTGGATGGTGAG